GACCGGGGGTCCCAGCATGAGCTGCTGCTCCCAAAATCCCCCTAAGCCAGGACTTTAAAGCATTGGTGCCTTGCAATGAAGTAAAGATCAGTGGGAGTGGGCAAAGTCTCATATTCAAGGTAACCTGAAACCTTGTAGAATTGCATCTGAAAATCCCTCTCAGTCTCATAGTATTTATTCTCTATTTCTAGGGCACAAGAGTTAAGCCCACTTAAGGCAAAAGGTGAGAAAGAACAACTGAGGAGCCAAGTTAAAGTGATTTGCTTCAAAATCACATTAAAAAAAAAAAAGCTATGAAAAGAAAGCCAAGAATGAAAGAATCTCCTTTTATGGCCACAGAGAGCAAAAACCCAAAGCAAAGCACAACATGAAGGACTCCGAGGTTCTGTCCCAACCTGAGTGATGCTGTGAACTTCATGGGGTTGGGAAGCAAGAGCCCAGTTTGGGGAACTAAGAGCCTCCAGGATGTGGAGTTTTCCCAAAAACAACAAGTGTGGAGCTGGGAGGAGAAGTCCCCGGGGTCACTTGCTGGGAAGTGGCACCACCAGGAGCTCCTGACGAGGCCTGAGTGGGGCACAAAGGGGTAAAATTGGCACCAAAGTGGGGAGCAAAGTGCCAGGTCCTGCTGCACAGCAGTGGCCAGGCTGTGACTCAGTGCTGGCACTGCCACCCAGCCCAGAGCATGTGAGGTGTCACAGGAACAAACAACAAAGGCTGGGGGGGATGGCAGAGCAGCCCCTCTGCTGCCACAGCTCTGCTCATTGCAGCCCCTCAGTCCTGGGGAAAAGCACCAGGGCAGCTCCCACTCACTCCCCTCACAAGAAGGAAATAACTTTTGGAGGCAAGTGAAGCTCTCAGCAGGTTTGGTTTGGGGCACTTCAGCCTCAGACTGAATTTGGGATCAACAAAATCCTTTCCATCGGGTGTTGAGGCCAAGCACCCTGAGCTGCACAACACAATTCTCCTCACCCAAAACAGTTCCTCACCTCCCAGGACGAGCCTGGCTCAGGCAAAACACTGCCTTGTCTCTCGAATTATCTCCTCCTTTCATGTTTTGTTTCATCTGCTGATGGAAAAATGAGCACTTTTGTCTTTGGAAAGCTCTGCACCTCTATGGAGCCAGTGGGAATGGCACTGGACATGCTCCTGGAGCTGAAAACAGGATTGTTCCTTCTGCTGTGGCTGGAAATGCCCAGCAATATTTCACTACAATTTCCCAACTCGGTCCTTTTGTTTCCCTCACTTTTAGCAGGGACAGATTATTTCTCATGGCAGGTAAAACTCCATCCAAGGCTGTGCTTCCCCACAGGAAGCCAGGGGTGTGGAAAAAAGGCAATTTCCTTTCTTACTTCTAGAGGCTTTTGGGAAGGAGCATGGCAGCTTGGCAAGTGCTTGGACCCCAAAACCAGAGGTGATCCACCTGTACCTCAGGAAACTTTCCCCTTTCAGAAATGATCTGAACCCAGGGGTTTGGAAGAAAACACCACTGCTAGAGATGAGAACCTCCTGCGAGAGGGTTTCCAAGCAGCAAGGATCAAGGCAGGTACTGTCAGAGGCTGTGGTGAGTGTGGGGAGAAGGGGAAGGGAGCTGCAGTCGTGGTGGACCCATCCCCTATGGAAGCACAACTGGAAACTCCAAACCTTCTCTGATCGAGCACCATGAAAACGGAGAGAAATTAAATTGAAAGGTGATCAGAACTAAAAATGGAGCTGTGGTCATGATTCCAAACCAGTGGCATAGTGCAGTTCAAAAGCAGGGTGCACTTTTGTGCTTACACAGAGAGAGGAAGGTTTCAACAAGCACTGCAGAGCACAGGGAGGAGGAGCAGGATGGAGCCACCCTTTGGCTTCTTCTACAGCCAAGTCCAAGGAGGTAAAGCAAGAGCTCTGTAAAATGCTGCAGATTTTAGAAGTGTAATGGCAGGTAGAAAAGGACACTGGTCTCGTGTCAGTGGCAGCCCCAGAGTTAGGAGACAGTCTAGGCTTCTAGGAGGAGAAAATAGAAGAGAGGAAAAGAAGAAGGAGAGGGAAAAGGGGACGGGGAAAGGGGCAAGAAAGCGCAGGTGGTTAGTAAACATCACCATGGAGGCAGCACTGCAAACAGCAAACACTCCACTCGTGCAGCCACGAGATCTGCCAAAAGCCACTCCCCACGCACACAGCAGCTCTGCACACACACAGCAGCTCTGCTCTGCTCTCACAGCTGGCCCAACATCTGGCACGGCCACCACGCTGGGCCGGGCCGGCTCAGCAGCAGGGACGGGCACACAGCAGCAGCTCAGCATGCTGCTCACGGGCACAAGTGGCACTGAACACCAAATTATTCCTGTGAGCCAGGGCTGGGTGACAGGGAAAGCCCAGCTAGGGGAACGATGAGAATCCACAGGGATAATTCCCTAGGGAACTTCTCACCTGCCAGCAAGAGCATCTACACCAACCATCATCCCTGATGGATTTCTCTCCAGAAATTTGGTTGGGCTTTATTTTTAAATATATCTTTCTTTTGAACTCTAGGCAAATATCCTGCAATAAAGAGTTGCAAATTGAAAATTATACATGAATTTTTGGTTGGTTTGACCAAGCCCTCCCTAACCTTTGCCTCGTGGAGGTGAGCAGGGATTTCAAACCAGCACTGAATGAATTCCCTGCTGTGCGTCCCCGGGAACGCTGCTCCAGCCTCTCCATTTGTCCTTTTTAGGAAGAACAGGATCAGCAGAGAGCCTTGCAGGGGATATGCCCAGCACCCAAAAGCAGAGCTCCCCTCTCAGATTCCCAAAAAAAACCCCAGGAACAAACCCCCCAGGCCCAGCACTGCCCAGGATGGAGCAGCAGGAGCTGCCAGGGTCTCCCTGCCCAAACCCTGCCCTGAACACAGCCCTGCAGCTTTGAACACGGCACAACTGAGAAGAATTCAACCCCTGATGGAGGCTCTGGGGCTCTGCTGCTCCGAGGGTGTCTGGGAGCAGGACAAGGAGTGCCAGGAGCTCGGTGCTGACTGATCCCAAGCCCTGCACACACTCCCCACGTGGCTGCAGATAATGCTGCATGTCACAAAACAACGTCAAGCATCGCCTCCTTTTAGCTGATGAGTGAAGAAAAACCATCCAGCAATGTTTCCTGAGCTCCAGCCCAGGGAGATCCACACTTGGATTTGCAAACAGCTGAACCTGCCCTTTTCCTTGGAGTCTGCTTCAGAATGACTTAAACCCAGCTCTGCTTTTTAAAGCTCTCTCTGTAGCTTTTAACATTGGTTTTTATAGTAAAAAGCTGATTTGCCTGAGCATCACCTTCCTCAGTCCTCTCCTGGCTGCCCCATTTCTCTGCACTGGGCTCACATTCCACATCCCTAAGGATCACTGCAGCTTTCACACACAGGGAATGGATCGTGCTGAAAACAAATCCCCCAAACTGGAGGTGGTTTAGAGCCAGGGATGCAGGATTCAGGCAGCAGCACCTCTTAAATGTGGGAGCAGGCACCAGCTCTGAAACCCCTCCAGTTCTGGTGGAAATTCAGCTTTTCTCCCTTCTCCCCCATGCAGAATCACAGATATTGCAATTATTCCACAAGGAAGGGGGTAGGGAAAGAGGCCATGAAGGAATTGTGTCATGTAAAATCTTCTGTAACTCTGGCAAACCTAATTAACTTGATGGCCACAGCTCCTCATCCTGACACGCTGCTCTGACACTTTGATGTCACTTTTAGACACACTTGAACAGGAGAAAAAAAAAAATCAACTCTACCCCACAAAGAGGGAATGTATTAATAAATTAAAAAGCTCTAGACACATAAAAGTATCTTTGATCAAAGTTGTTAACATTTAGTGTGAAGAGTTAAACCTCCACAAAGCAAAAGTGAGGCAAATAACAAAGAATTTTTTAAACACAATGCAGAAGTTCAATACAAAAATCCTGATGCCTTTAATTATTCAGACCATAAACCTGATTGCATTTCTATCTCCTTTAGTTAGAAGTATTACAGAAGAGGGAGGAAATATCCTTAGGAAGGTTCAGAAGGGTTCTTAATGTCAGTTTATACTGAATTATAAAAGATGCACAACCTCCTTGGCTGGATTTCCAACGGCATGTGAAGCACAAAGATCAATTTTTCTGTTCCCATCCTCACTTAGGACATGAAACTCACTCACACTAAACCAAACTCTAAAATCCTAAAGAGAATTACAGCAGAGAGGTGTTTTAACTCATCCCCATCTCCCAAACGTTCATTATTATTTCCTGAAGGAGTTTTTATCTTGGGGCTGCACTGGGATAACACAGGCAATGATCTGGAGCTGGACATCCTCACAAGGGAGACCAAAAGAAGTGCTCAGCCATGCCAGGATGATCTGACTCTGGAATATTCCATCCCCTGGAAAAGCAGAGCTCCCACAGCCCAAGGCCCCAGTGCAGATGGGATCTGCCAGGAGCCCCAGGTCCCAGAGAGAAGGCTCCACTATTGCCTGGGACCAAGGGACACCGACCCCAGCACTCAGCCTCACTGCAAAGATCAATTCTTTTCCAGGTTCTGCACAAATGTGAGAAATACTGATCCAGCTCCATCACAACATCTGGCACTCAAAACTCTCCTGATGTTATGGGCAAAGCTCCAAAGGCTCAGTGTCACCTGTGCCACTGCTGCAGCACGTGTGGGGACACGACCACAGCAGGGAATAAAAACTGCTCCAGAGGATGGGGGACATGGCAAAACACCACAGTGGGGCTCAGGGGACAGGGGCAGTCACAGGACAGGGCACAGTTCATATTATTTGGATATTATGGACTCTCTACAAACCACTTCTATCAGCTGCCTTGCCAGCAGTGACCACGGATAAAGAACAGCACATCTTCACAACAAGGCTTTACCCAAAAAAACCATTTAAACCCCAAAGAAAGTGAAGCTCTGCTTTGTTGTCAATTCTTTGAGAGCTCATTAAACCCAAGCCCAGCCCCCTGGGAGGAGTTGGGGACTCCAAAGCAGCTGGATGTGGGCACTGAGCACGTACCTGTGTGGTGATCCTGCAGCCCGTGGTCACCGTTCTCCACCACCATGGGCCCAGAGGCTGAGGAATCTGCAAGAAATCAGCACAAGGGTTAAAACTGCATGGAATTCATCTCAATCCAGACCCTGAAAACAACATTGTGGAATTATAGAATCACTGAGGTTGGAGAGGAGCTCCAAGATGGAGTCCAAGCTTTGATTGATCCCCACCTTAGGGTCACCAGGGTGGTGATCCCAAAATTAACAAAAGAAATTATCAATTCCAGTTGAGAGCACACTCACAGAATCCCAGCATCACTGAGGCTGGAAAAGCTCTCCAAGGTCACAGAGTCCCAGCTGGGCCTGATCCCCACCCTGTCCCCAGCCCAGAGCCCTCAGTGCCACCTCCAGCAATTCCTGGCACACCTGCAGGGCTGGGCACCCCAAACCTCCCTGGGCAGCCCCTGCCAAGCCCTGCCCACCCTTTCCATGGGGAAATCCCTGCTGAAACAGCACACACTGCTAAAGCAGGGATCAGGGGACATTTGGATCACCAGTTCCCAAAACCAGCACAGAAAATCCTTAGCACTGTGGGATTTAGTGCCTCTGGTCCTGAAATTCTAAAATTTTAACCAGCACCAGGATTTCCACACTGAACTTGGGGAACTTGGCAGCAGTGGACACAGGGAACAGTGTGAAGCTGTAGGAAGATGCATGTGGATTAGATAAAAGAAGAAGTTTTACACAATGAGGGTGGGCAGGGCTGGCACAGGGTGCCCAGAGCAGCAGTGGCTGCCCCTGCATCCCTGGCACTGCCCAAGGTTGGACACTGGAGCAGCCTGGGACAGTGGAAGTGTCCTTGCCATGGCAGGGGTGGCTCTGGATGATCCTTAAGGTTCCCTCCACCCCAAACCAGTCTGGATTCGGTGACTTTATGACCCTGAGCAGTTTTAGTGAAGCAGAACAAGCAGCACCAGCTCCCCTCTGGGTCCTCAGTTCTGCTGACAGTGAGGAAATGCTCATTTTATAAATAACAAAGGTTTCTCCTGAAGAAACACACACACACTCAGTCACCTGGAGCTGCTGCTGAGCCCCAGGTTTATATCAGAGTCCTTCTCACACAGCAGGGCTGAATCCAGCCCTCAGCAAAGCACAAGGAAAAATCTTTCCAGCTACAGCAGTGCCTCATCCTGGGGTTTTATAGAAATTCCCCATGAAATCTGCTGGTTGATAGAAAAACACAAACCTACACCCTCCTGGAGGAGCTGGGATAGCACAGGGAGCCCTGGAGCTGCTCCACTGCCAGGCTGCACAAGGGATGGAGCAGGGGAGGGATGGGAGGGAGCAGGGGAGGGATGGGAGGGAGCAGGGGAGGGATGGGAGGGAGCAGGGGAGGAATGGGATGGAGCAGGGGAGGAATGGCTGGAGCAGGCACTGGGGGGTCCTGGCAGTCCCTGCATTCCCTGGAATCGGGCTCAGGGTGGTTTGGACAGCACTGAGGCACTGCCCAAAGGCACAGGAGGAGGAACAGGGGCTTGCAGTGACATCCCTGAGGAGCTCCATGCAGGAGATGCACATTTTCTGGAATCCTGCAGAACCATGGAACCTCCTGAGTGGGAATGAAGCCACAATTCCCATCCAAGCCCAACCCCAGCCCTGCAGAAAACAGCCCCAAGATCCCCTCCATGACCACATCCTGCTTTCATTTCTCTCTGAGCTGCCCCTTACACCTTGCACAGGGAATTGAGCTGCTGGGATGTTTCACAGTCTGCACAGCAGCAGGAATTTCCCCATGGAAAGGGTGGTGAGGTGTTGGAATTTCCCAGGGAGGTTTGGATCCCCATCCCTGGAGGTGTCCCGGGAATTGCTGGAGGTGGCACTGAGTGTCCTGGGCTGGGGACAGGGTGGGGATCAAGGTGGGACTCTGTGACCTTGCAGGGCCTTTCCAGCCTCTGACTCTGATGCATCAAACCAGGACTTGACCATAAACGTGGCTGAACCCTCCAAAGTGGGTTCCCAAAGGAGCAGAAGGATCAGAAAGGCCATGGCTGCCCTTGGGAAGGACAGAGGGCAGGTGAAATGGTTCCCTTTACAGTTTTAGCTTTTTGGGAAGACAGGCTTCCAGAAAAACCAGGTCAAATCACACCAACTCCAACCAGCACGAGTGGTTGTTATTTTTAAGTCTCTGAAGGTCAATGCCTTTGGAGCAAATCAATCTGAGCTGGGTTTGCTGAAGCCCCAGTGTGAAAGCACCCAGCAACCTGCCCAGGGCTCCTCCCCTCATATTCTAAATTGCATAAACCCAAAACCATGTCAAGATGTTGTAACTACCTAATCCTCATCAGAATCACAAGATAGTATTTGCATCTGGCTCGTGGATCAAAGGATTGTTTTTATATAAACAAATTTAAGGCAGCACTCACTAAACCGATAATCTGGAGCAAATGGGCAGTGCCAACATCACCCCTAATGCCAGAGGGATGGGCAGGGCACAGCACCACGGCCAGCACGTCCCCAGCACGGCAGGGAGGGCACACCTGGGGACACAGAGGCCTCTGGGCAGCCCAGCTTTTATTTTATTGCTCCTTGTGCAGCTTTTATCACACTCAGATGTTGGCAAATGCTGACATTTGTGAGGAAAACGTGAGCTAAAAACGCTGATGGGCAGAGTCTGAACCAGCCAAACAAGGAACTTCATGTCCTGCCACTCATTCATTTCAATATTCTGCCTCAAAATCGCCTGCAGAGCTGCCCCAGCCATGGATCTACAGAGCACAAGGACCTGGAGCTGCTGCAGGGCTGGAGCCAGGCTGGGAGAGCTGGGAATGTTCCCCTGGAGAGGAGAAGGCTCCAGGGAGAGCTCAGAGCCCCTGGCAGGGCCTGAAGGGGCTCCAGGAGAGCTGGAGAGGGACTGGGGACAAGGCCTGGAGGGACAGCACACAGGGAATGGCTTTGAGCTGGAAGAAGTGGATTTAGATGGGATATTGGGATGGAATTCCTGGCTGGGATGGAATTCCCAGAGCAGCTGTGGCTGCCCCTGGATCCCTGGAATGCCCAAGGCCAGGTTGGACATTGGGACACCCTGGGACAGTGGAAGTGTCCCTGCCATGGCAGGGGTGGCACTGGATGAGATTTCAGGGCCCTTCCAGCCCAAACCAGTCTGGGATTCTGTGATGTAACAACTGTGGGGCAGGAATGGGGCTGGACAGAGTTTGAGAGGGAAAAGGTTCAATGCCTCATCTGAGATAAAAATGCAAATATCATCATCTGCTGATTTATCTTCGAGCCCTCTGAAACTCTGGGGTTTGTAGAACATTCTCCAGCTCCACCTTCATTCATGACCAAGTGTCTAAATTCCCTTTGGCTACAGCAAATCCTGCTGCAAGAAAGGCACTTATTCCTCGTGTGGGAAGGGAGGGAAAAGCAAAAGGAAATGTGGATTTTGGCCTCGGGTTTCAGCTCTGGAGCTGCAGTGTCCAGCAGAGCCATCTCGTGGTGACACCTCCGGTCCCAGAGCCACCCTGGGACTGACTCAATGAAACCAAAGCCAGGTTTGAGCCCTGCAGGGTTTAATCCCACGGGAATGGGGTCCCACAAAGCCACCCACTCACTGACAGGGCTGGGGAATGCAGGGGAATAAACCCAGTGGCTCAAGGAATAAAAAAAAAAAATGAAATAAAATAAAATAATAGAATTACAATAATGAAAAGAGAGAGGGGAATTGCTCAGCCTGGAGAAAAGGAGGCTCAGGGGGGCCCTTGTGGCTCTGCACAACTCCCTGACAGGAGGGGACAGCCCGGGGGTCGGGCTCTGCTCCCAGGGAACAGGGACAGGAGGAGAGGGAACGGCCTCAGGCTGGGCCAGGGGGGGTTCAGGTTGGAAATTGGGAAAATTCCTCATGGGAAGGGCTGCCCAGCCCTGGCACAGCTGCCCAGGGCAGGGGTGGAGTGCCCGTCCCTGGGGGATTTAAAAGCCCTGTGGATGTGGCACCTGGGGACATTGGTCAGTGCTGGCCTTGATGGTCTCTGAGGGTTTTTCCAAGCTCAGCAATTCCATGGTTCTGTGAATAAAACCCAAGAGGAAGCAGTGATGCCCCATGCCCTGGGTCACTGCTGTCCAGCCTGGGCCCCAGCACGGAGTGGCAGCTCCTGGCCAGGATGTTCTGGACTGTGGGATCAGCTCTCCTGGCCATGCCCCATCTTCCTCACACCTGCTCCCTGCCTGAGCCTGGGAAATCAAAAAAGATTCACCCAGAGCAGGCAGGGCTCAGGAATCTGGCTGTCATCACCACCATCCTCACACCCAATTCCAAACCCTGCACTGTCCCAGGAAACATGGAGAAAATTACCTCCATCCCAGCCCATACCCACCAAAAAATCCTGGATTCAAGGTTAAAACTCAAACAGGAGTTTGTGAAGAATGCCAAGCACAGGACTGAGCAGGAGGCCAGGTCCCCTGAGCACAGAGCTGCCCTTTGGTCTGTGCCCACAGTTCCCCAGCAGGAAGCAGCACTGCAGGCACAACGCTGCTCCTCACCTCACCTGAAACATTCCCCACGAGCTGAGGAACTCTGCTGCAACTCATCCAACATCCAACACCCCCTCCCTCACACCTTCACCCATTCCCTCAGCTGACTGAAACTGCTGCAGCCTCCAGAGCATCCTGCAAGCCCTGGCATTGCTCAGCAGAGCAGGCACCACACTCCCCTTGCTGTTGTCAAAGGCCCACGAGGTCACAAGAGGATTATCCCAGAATTTACCAAATTACCACGTCCAGCCAGGGGAGAGGAGGAGTAAACTCGTTTTTCTCCCTGGTATTTTAGAAGTTAACCATTATTAAAGCTTTATTCTAGGACAGATTTGTAGGTGACCAAACGATTGCTCATCACATGTCCCTGCTCTTCTCCACCCCTCTGTGCTCACCCAGCTCCATGCTGGGGCCAAGCTCAAAGTTAAACTCGTCTAACTTGGCTCCTGGCTTTAGGAAAAAAAATCAAAGAAAAGCTTGGAGCAGATCTGGAGCAGCTAAAGCCTGACAGGATGGAGGATTAAACCTCTTCTGACTGGGGAAAGACAATCTCAGGAGCACAGACCGGGATGTCAGAACACATTTGAGCCTTCTAACATAAATAAATGAACAAGTGGAGGCTGAAAAGCCTGAGCTCTGCAGGCTGCTCCTCTCCCTCAGCAAAGCCAGGGATGTGAAACTCCTGCTGCTGTTCCCCAAAAACTCAGACATGGAACTGAAACACCAAGACCCCCTTGGGGCCCTGCAAATCTCACCCAGTGCTCAGGAATTCTGGAGCCTCAAGAAATGAAGCTCATTCAGCTTTGCTGTCTTTTTAAACAAATAATAAATAAATTTCATGGAAAAAACAAGCACCATCAGCAACTTCAGGAAAAAAGAGGGAAGAGAAATGAAGACATTCCAGGACCAAATCCTGACCCTGATTTAGGCTTCAGTCCTTCCCTGCTGGTCCAAGGTGGGAAAGCTGAACAATTCCACTCAGGGCAACTTCCCCATCTCTCCATGCAGGGTCTCGTTTGCATCTTGCCAAAGATTGAGATAATGCTCCTGACTGCTCTCCAGCTCTCCCAAAAAAGGGAAAAACCAATCTCCAAAGCAAGAATAAGAAACTGCATCCCCCCCCTTGCCACGTAGGAGGGAAATGAGCTCTGCTCCAGCAGCCCCATGATGGGATGGGCAGAGAGGGGAGAGGGGGGAGCAGGGAAAACCAGGAGATGCCAGAATCCCTGAATTACTGAGCTTGGAAAAGCCTTCCCTGATCCTCAAATCCAAGCTAAGCCCAATGTCCCCTTGTCCCCAGAGCTCTGAGTGCCACCTCCAGAGATGGGGACTGCAAAGCTCCCTGGGCAGCCCCTTCCAGGGTTTAATAACCTTTTCCTGAAGGAATTCCTCCTGAAATTCTGCTTTTCCCTCCCAGTATTTGTGCCTGAGCTCTGCCCACAGGACCCAGCCCTTCTCTCACAGAGAGTATGAATTACTGAGCAAACCCAAAAGGCCTCTTTACCCCACCCCAAGATCCCGGAGTTATGGGAAATAATGAGCTGGGATAGCAAGGATGCAAGGCTGGGAGGACACACTTAAGGGATTTGTATTTTAAACCAATATTGGGTAATGATTTGAGCACTGAGAAATCCTGGTGCTGACATGGTTTAGGATCTGCAGCTTCTACAACAAAGGATTTAAAACATCCTCAACTCAAAGGTGTTAACAATTCCCTGTGTTTGTCTGCTTCTGCAACGCCAAAGTATAAATGAAATAAATAATACACACCTGAACTGCCCTAAGTTCCAATTTTATAATAATGTCATTGCCCATTACCATCCTCCCTGCTCCTTTGGTGCCATTTAATAACCATGTCAGCATGGAAAATTCAAAGTTACATTTCCTGTGTTGCAAGGCGCCCAATGCACTTCTAAACAAAGCAGATAAATGCCTTAAACAGACCAGAATTCCCCATGCTGTGGTCCTGGAGGTTCTGTTTATTCTGAGCAATCACATGAGCAGCAGGATTAAGGGTTAAAAAAAAAAGAAAACTTCCTCTGAAGAAAATCATCAGGTTACCAAGGGTTTACCTTTTCTACACAGCACAGATCAAGGCCACAAACCAAACAAAACCATGCAGGCACTGCTGGAGCCAGGTGACAATTCCCACTTGGGCAGGGAGGGAACAGCACACAAGCAAAGGGAGAAGGAATTGAAATTGTTCACTGGGAAAGAAACCCATTGGATGACCCCCAAATCTTATTCTTTTCCCTTTTATACACAGAAGCATCTGTTTAAAACTCTCCTTTTCACACAAATAAATTGGTGATGTTCCACCTCAAACTCCTGGGGCAGTTCTGGTGTCCCCAGGTCCAGGACAGACCCTGAGGGACTGGAGCATGTCCAGGGAAAGGAAAAAAACTGGGAAAGGGTTTGGAGGGGCTGAGGGAGCTGGGAAAGGGGCTCAGCCTGGAGAAAAGGAGGCTCAGGGGGAAGCTGACACAACTCCTGACAGGAGGGGACAGCCAGGGGGAACTGGGCTCTGCTCCCAGGGAACAGGGACAGGAGGAAAGGGAAGTTCTGCTGGGAAATTTGGAATATTCCTGCTGGAATGGGCTGTCCAGCTCTGGCACAGCTGCCCAGGGTAGGGGTGGAATCCCCATTGCTGGAGGGATTTAAATCTGTGTGGATGTGATTCTTGGGGACATGGGTCAGTGGTGGCCTTGGAAGTGCTGGGTTTGAGGATCTCAAGGATCTTTTCCAACCTTAATGATTCCATGATTGTAAATATGAGCTGGGCTGGAAAGAGTCCACCAGCAGCAGAGACAGCAGCAGGTTTTGGTACTGTGCACACAATCAGCACATCCAAAAAAAAATCCAAGAAAATAAAGCCTTGGGTCAGAACCATGGGATTGAGCTGTGAAATATTTGGGACTGAAGCCCCCAGACAGAAAATGAAGATTCCCAGCAGCAGCAGCAGCTTGTCACCCACTTTTCTTCTTGGATTTGCCATCCCCCAGAGTGGTGGCACCTTGGGACACTATTTGTGGAGCATGGCAGCCACAAAATTTGGCAGTGCTTTCTGTGAGAGCCCCAAAAGCAGCCAAGCCCAAAGCGTTCATGTAGAGCACACGATGCTGTGGCCCAGCAGGGACAGCTTGTGTTTCACAGCCTGATGGGCAAAAAGCAACAAACAGGGTTGGATCTCAGTGCTGGCCTTTGAAATGACTGTCCTGAAGCCGTGTCCCAGTGAGCACAGTGCTCCCTGATGTTTCAGTGGCATTTTTTGGGGGACACTTACGTTCCACGGGAATCCCATCCACGTGCCCTTTGCTCCCTTTGGGCTCCTGGCTGCCGGCCTTGGCATCGTCCTCATCGTCCAGCAGGGGCACATAATCTGTTTTATCCACTGTCTCTCCGACCACATCATCGAATTTCTCAGCCTCCAGGGTGGCTATGAAGTCCCTTTTCACCTCCTCCTCCACGTCGTGGGGTGGCTCCGTGAGAGCATCGGCCAGGCTGAGGTTGTGGTCCAGGTCAGCCATGCCTGAGCACCTCTGCACCTGCAGGGCCGGGCACAAAGACACATTTCATCACCGTCCCCCACCTTCTGCATGTCCCCCCTGTGCCTTTACACCACCACAAAGGTTTGGTCGGGGCTCAGGAATGCCCAGATGTTCCTAAACCCTCCCCCCCCTCCGGTGGAAAACAGAAATAAACCGGGATCATCTAAAGCGGGTTTAGCTCGTGGACGTTACATTGCATGGGGTCCTTGATCAGAACTTCCAATAAAAAAATGTCAAAATAAGGCCCAGTACCTGGCCAGGTAGGCACGGTGTGACACTGACTGCAGCCCTGCCCCAGATCTGGAGTTAATGACACCCCTGAGCAGCAGAAATGACGCCAGAGAATTTAGTGCTGGCCTTGACTCCACCCAGCCTCCCCTATGGAGATTAGGATTTTACATAATCTCTGATGTATACTTCAGTGCTGCTCCTGATCCCTCCCAGAGGGTCCTGCAGAGCCTTCATGTCCTCAGCAAACCTTGCTAATCCCAGCAAACCCCCTCCAGCCCTGGGATTTGGGAGGGAAAGTGACGTTTTAATAATGTTTACATGAAAAAACCAGACAGCAAAGTGCACACGTAGGCATTATATCCACAGCTAGGAATTGGAAAGAGAGGAGAAGTAATCACCAGTTATCCCTCCCTCATTTGCATCCCTGTGTTCAATTTAATTCCTGGCACCAAGCTGAAAAAAATGCACCTGAACTGAGTCATGTCCAACCTTCAGGTTGGCACAACACACACCCATCACCAACTCTTCACTTTTTCACTTCACAGCCTTTTGAAGTGATTCTTGGGAACAACAGGCCACAAAACCTGCTGGAATGTACAGAAAGGCTCTGTCCCAGTCCCTCTGCAGCTCTCCCAGAGCCCCTTTAGGTCCTGGAAGGAGCTCTGAGCTCTCCCTGCATTTCCCTTTGTCCAGGTGAACATTCCCAGCTCTCCTGGGACCCCTTTAGGTCCTGGAAGGGCTCTGAGCTCTCCCTGGATTTCTCCTTGTCCAGGTGAACATCCCCAGCTCTCCTGGGACCCCTTTAGGTCCTGGAAGGGCTCTGAGCTCTCCCTGCATTTCCCCTTGTCCAGGTGAACATTCCCAGCTCTCCTGGAACCCCTTTAGGTCCTGGAAGGGCTCTGAGCTCTCCCTGGATTTCTCCTTGTCCAGGTGAACATTCCCAGCTCTCCCAGCCTGGCTCCAGCCCCTCGTCAGGAAAAGCAGGAGCTGCTGACACAGAGCTGCCCGAGGAACACAAGGGACATTTGTGTGTGCTGGGTCAGGAGGGGTGGCCCAAGTGGCCACTGAGCAGCAGCCCAGGCCTGCTGCCTTCCATGGGCTGGCAGAACACAGATCCTCTTGTTCCCAAAAAACAAAGGCTCCTACTCCTTGAACTCCAGGAAATTCTGTGTCAGCACTGCACATACCTACAGGCTCACATTCCTCAGGAACAATGGGGTCCCACTGATAGTGGGGTTTCTGTCCTTCCAGGCAAGGCTGTTATGGAAACTAATTCAGTTCAAGCTCTTCTTTTGAATTCTTTCAACAAGAAAAGGTCAGCCTTGCAGGCAGACCACACTTCAGGCAGCAACTCGTGGTGCTTTAGATAAAGGCCCTGAATCACAGCTTGGAAATGCAGAGGTGAAAAGTTTGGAGTTCTTCACTCCCCCACCCCGTGCAGGGTCACAGCTGAATGAGTTATGGCCAGTAAAAAAAAAAAATATACTGAAATGGTATCAAAAAGGTTCATTTCAGAGTTCCTGACTATTTTAAGACAAACTCTCATCCAGATGTGCACACAACTGGCTGCACCAGCCAGGGAAGGCACTTGCAGAAGTTTAATCCCTGCACTGAGCAGTCTCCTTGAAGGAACAATTGGGGCTCAGAAAGAGGCACATCCCTCTTTGCTTTCAACTCCCAAGGGAACTGATGGCTTTAGGTCAGCGAGTCTCAATGTGCAGCAATGAACATTTAATCATCTTCTTCTGAAAATGTCATTTAGCATCAGCAAGAAAAACAATATTTAGATTTCCCAACAAGCACGGAGTGACTGAGGCTGGAAAATTCCTCTGAGTGCCTCCAGTCCAGCCATTCCCCCAGCACTGCCAAGGCCACCCCTGACCGTGTCCCCAAGTGCCACATCCACATGAATGTTAAATCCCTTCACCAATGGGCACCCACCCCTGCCCCGGGCAGCTGGGCCAGGGCTGGAGAGCCTTTTTGGGGAAGGAATTTTCCCAATATCCAACCTGAGCCCCCCTGGCACAGTTGGAAGCTGTTTCCTCTTGTCCTGCCCCAGTTCCCTGGGAGCAGAGCCCTACATGGAGTGGGCTGCACCCCATGGCAAAGCTGCCATAAAACACATGGAACCTGGGACTTTGTGGCACTAAAAGTGCTGCTATTTCAGGTTTACACAGGAACTAGGACACTGGAGTGATCTACTTTCTGGGGGAAATAATAATGAGGCTATGCAGCCTGATCAGCAGGACATTTCCTTGTCCATATTTAGCTAAATAGGGAATGTAGCAACCATGTATAAAAATAAACCAGTGTCACTAAAAAAAAAGCCATTTTAAATAGAGAGTCTCAGACACGGCTGGAGCACCTGGCACAAACTGCAAGGATCCCTCCTGAGCCCAGGTGGGCTCCAAGGACAGCCCCAACACCCTGGGAATTCCTCCTTTTCCTCCTTTTCCCTCCCTGGTGTTACAGCTGCCAAACGACACCAATTCCCAGATTCCCAGGGCTTGTCTGCTAACCAAGGCAAGAGGAAAATGAGGATATTGAAGGGATTGTGCCCAAGAGTAGACAGCAAATCCTGGAGCATATTCATGTGTTGAACAGCTTAGAGAGACAGATGCTGCCTACCCCACTGCCCTTCACAGAGAACAGAGCTGGCTGGGGAGCACTAAAGACTCCTCAGCAAGATGTGCCTCAATCCCTGCCTCCACAGCAATGGAAATCTGACATTAAAGAGCACAGGGAAGAGGAATTCTGGTATTAACCTAGGGATGAAAGAGGAAAACTGAGCAGTGACAGAGATTTCTGAGAGCAGAGGGTTAAAAATGCTCTGAAATTCCTTCCTGGAAAGGGAGGCACTGCCCAGGGATGTTTGCAGTGCCCATCCCTGGAGTGTCCAAGGAACACCTGGATGTGACACTCAGTGCCCTGGGCTGGGGACAAGGTGGGGACTGGGCACAGCTTGGACTCAGAGGGCTGGAAGGGCTTTTCCAGCCTCAGGGATTCAGAATAATTCCTCAGCAGTGGGAAAGCTGCTGAGATCCTCCTGGCTGTTAAATCAGCAGAGGGAGTGGGTGACAAACCTGGCTCCAGGTTTGGATCCAAGAACAGCCTCCATGGGAGGAGTCTGCTCCAAGGAAAGGTGTGGAAGGAGCAGGAACAGCCCTGCCAGTGCCACAGTGACAGCTGCACTACAGGCAAGGAGAAGGGGTTTCCTGTGACAACACATTCCAGGAAATCTTCAAATTACCCCTAAGCAATTCAATCATGTTCCTTGAAGTCACACATTATTTTTACACGGGATTGTTTAGATCTCTCCTGTTCCAGGCACAGCTGATCTGTTACACTCAGGGTTTGCTCCATCTGTTCTCCACACTGAGAATCTCTGTGTACTCACTGAGTAACCTGTTTGTTGGGATAACCAAAATCCATCACTCCTCAGCTAATCTCAAAGATTCAGCAGGGTTATTTCAATCCCTTGCCCACATCACACACCTTCCATCCTGCTGTTTTGTTCCAGCTGTTCACTGGATTTGAGTCCCAGCTGCCCCATCCCTGGGAGTGTTTGGGTTGGAAGGACCCCAAAGCCCCTCCAGTGCCAGCCCTGCCATGGCAGGGACCCCTCCCACTGTCCCAAGGTGCCCCCAGCCCTGTCCAGCCTGGCCTGGGACACTGCCAGGGATCCAGGGGCATCAACAAATTCCCAGGGTGTCGAGAACTTCCCTTCACCAACTCCTCACCCAGGTTTTCCTTGCAGTGACCCCCTGGAACAACTTCCCAGAGCCATCCTCCCACTCCCCACCCTCTGCAAAAACCAAAACCTGCAGGAGCCAGAACCTCCAGCTTCCCATCCAGGGAAAAGTGGAATTTATTTCCTGAACTCTGTGCTTCCATTTTGCAGCTCCCCTGACTGCTCTGTTGTGTTCCTGCCTCCAGGCACGCACAGGCTTGGAATTTCAAGTTATGATCAGTCTGACCCAGATTTTGTGTCTTGTCTGAAGACACAGAAAGAGGAGAGCAGGCACAAGGATGCTGCCCAGAAAATCCAAACACAATTGTCCTCAGGGCAGGACACTGCCCCAGCTCCCTGGCACTGCTGGCACAGGGAATTCTGCTTTTCCCAGAGGAGCACACCTGACAGGGACAGGGACAGGGACACAGCAGCCCAGCAGGCTCCTGGCAGCCCTCCAGGGCTCCATCCTGCTCCAAACTCAGCCCCTGGGCCAGCAACCCTCGGGCCAGAGGGGGAGGAGAGAGCTGCTCCATCCAGCAGGAACTGTGAATTAACATTTCCTCACTTGTGCTGCTTTAAAGGAGACTCTGATGCCCAAATTCCTGACAAGCACATCCATTACTCCATCAGATCCATTTGCTCCTTTAAAATTAGCTCCTAACTCCATTCCAAATTAAATGCCTGGCTGGGAGAAACAGGGACAGCTTGGTCATAATTCCCATTTCTCCTGGCTAAGTCAGGTTGCTTTTCTTAGCTGGAGCTGTTGGGAGCACTCAGCCATGGATGCAGAGAGATCTGCTAAGTCATCCTCCTTGCCAGAGTCCTGAGCCCATGCAAAGATTTGTGCATCCATCCTCCCAAAGGAGAGCACACAGGGACCCACAGAGCCACTGACCTTCCTCACATTCCATGGCTGGGCACAAAAATCTGAATTTTTCGTCATTTTTTGGCACAGCCTGAACCAGTGGGATGCACTTACTAATTGTTTCAAAGTTAAACCCAGCAAGAATTCTGCTTTATGGCTGTTTCTGGA